GGTCACTGGTGTCAGACTCCATTTTCTCTTTTTTATTTTTAATTATTTCACTTATTTATTTTTTGAGACAGGGTCTCGCTATGTAGTTCCAGCTGGGCTTGAACTCACTATGTAGCCCAGGCTGGCCTCAAACTCCAGGTGATCCTGTTGCCTCAGCCTCCCAAGTGCTGGGGTTCCAGGTGTGCACCACCACGCCCAACTTTTTTTTTTTTCCAGTACCTGGAATTGAACTCAGGACTTTGCACTTGCCAAGCAGGCATGGGGCTGCCGAGCTACATCCCTAGTCCTGGACTCCATTTTCTTATGTTTGGGAGGGAACTATAGGAGTCTCTTGACTTCTAGTTGCCATCTACAGAATAGAGATCATCTATTACTAGATAGATGGCTAGACAGAGATACAAACTTACTTAGATATACTTTTGTGATCTCACAGTCATGAGGCCAAAGGGTTTGGATCAAAATTTTCGATCCTATTTGATTTAAAAATCCCTCACTATACGAAACCCAAGAGTAGCCTGAACATTAGCTAACGTTTCAATATGCTCCAGCAATCATTTCATATATGCTGAAAGCTTGGGGGCTGAGACTCAACAGTTTACTACCACAAGAGAGGGACTCAAATCCTGAGAGAGGAGGCACTGTTTGGGCACAGAAACCAACAGAGAATAACAATGTTTGAAAAGAAACTTTTATGACACTAAAAACTGCTGAACAGACCACCTCCTACTTCTCTCTTAAGGGTCACCACTTTGAGACTTGAAAGAATAGAAACCTTCTATAGCCCCACGAAACTCCTCTTACACACATGGAAACAGCCGTGGACAGAACCATTCTCTACGCTATGCTGCTTCCAGAAACCAGTGGGAGACCTGAGAGCCCCGAACACACATGCATTTTCACGATGACCATGTCACAAAAGTAGTAACAGAGCTGTTCAACTGCTTGCAGAGCTGGGCCTGACTTGCTTCCCTACTCATGTTTAAGGTGAAAAACCTGCGATCTCTTGCATTTTCCCCAGGTCTGGATTTGGGCAAGGGACAGGACTAAGTCCCTCTGGTGGGAAAGAAGAGAAGCATAAGTTGCGTCTCTGAGGTGTCCTCTGCCTCAGCCACTTCTTCAAGTGTGCCTCGTAGCCCTGATCTGAAGACACCACAACCATATGATCCTCTTCCAGACCAGGCTCCGGAAGAAGGGGTGAGGACTGGGAGGGAACAAGAGGGCAGTGGCCCATTTGGGCCAAGTCAGCATCTTCAGCAGTGGAGCCATGGTTGGGAAATAGGCTTCTCTCCCTTGAAAACCCCAAATGCAATAACAATCCAGGGGCCGAAAACTGACACACAGAGACCAATAGTGGGAGCCCCATGCTGAGCCTGGGTGCCCAGGCATGCGGGATGGAATTCCTCCCCTGCCACTCACAGCTGTCTCCAGGAGTGAGGGTTTGAGAGACAAGAAGTGTGGGGTGCTGAGCAGACTGCGCGAGGGGCTGCTGCAGGAATGTGCACCATCGGGTCCTGCCTGGAGCTGGGCTCAGTTGTGAGTCCTTCTCAAATTAACAAACACAACAATGACCTCATTCTAGAAACTATTTTCTGCAAGATTTGGATAGCTTCACATTTTAGCTGGTTGTGGCTTGTTAAGTGAAGGGGTGGGAGACGCCAGTTGGGGGTTCGATGGAAAGAGTCAAAGTGCCCTCAGCAGTGGTGTACCAAAGCAATTCAACTTCAAGTGCTTCCCTGGGTGTACTAGTACAGGAAAAAAGCAAGATACAAAATTATATCCAGACATGTGCACACACATACAGACACACATAGCCATGTTAATTTAGAAAAAAGTTTGGAAGTAAAGAAACTAATTTCTTAAACTATGAGTGGTGCGATTATGCATGATTTAAACAATTTCCTCCTAGCCTTCAGAATATTCTGGACCTAACAGAATCCTCCAGCTCTCTGGGAAAGCCATTCTCTTGCACACACGGCGTTGGAGGGCACGCATGTGAAACAGTGAAGGTGGAAGAGGCCCTTGACTGGTTTGCCAGATTGCTGGTCCACATTAATCCAGCTCACCAACAAAGAGGCAGGCAGACAACACAGGCTGACTGCACAGCCATCAGCTTCCCCACATCTTCAGTTTTTTTTAATGAATGTGTACAGCTTTTCCAGTGGGCAGACACATCCCATCCCATCAGTCCCTGGAAATCAGGGAGCTGAGCCTCAACCCCTGGCTTCTCTACCCCATGACCTGTGAGAGTCTCTGGACACCACAGTGTTAAACAGGTGGAGAGAGAGCAACAGAGGAAGAGTATCAAGGGCTTTTGAACACAGGGCTTGGGAGAATCCTGCAATGCAAGATGAACTCAGAAGAACTGTGGGTCCTGGAGGCTGAACAAGAGTGCATGTTTGCTTGGCCTCAGACAGTCCCGCTTCCAGAGTGAAAGTTGTCTCTGTGGAGTGACACTCATGCTTCTGCTAGTGACCACCTGTGCCAGCGGGGATGTGCACTCTATCAGCCCTTCACTTGCCGTCTCCTTCAGCTCTTACAGTGACACAGCACCATGTGGTTGTTGGCTTCGTTTTAGAGATGGAGAAACCAAAAAGCTAAGACAACCAAAGTCTCAGGCTAATAAACTATGGAGATGGAATCTGCAAAGGCAAATTTGCTCCGAGGCAATGTGGATACATGTAGCCTTCTGGGGTGAAGACAGTCACCCCAGAGGGCCATTTTTGGCTCCTTTGGGGGAAGAAGGGATGGCTCTGGGATGTCTGCTCATGGTTCTTTAGAAGAAATGCATTGCTGGGCAGGGGATGTAGCTCAGTGGCGCTGCACCTGCCTGGCAAGTGTAAGGTCTCGATGGGGGGGTGCGGGGGGGGGAAGCATTGCTGAAGGTCCATAATGAACACAGCCAGTCTTCATGAGCTTTGATGTAGCTGCCAGGTAAATGGAAGCCATTCTGCCACACTGGCGTTCCTTAAGTACAGCCAGGCTAAGCTTGGCACCAGCCATGGTTCTCTTAAGTGTGTGGCACTGACTCAGTTGGGAACCAGCATGGGCGGGACCTCCTTTTGTGCCAGGTGATTTGCTAGGTGCTTTCCACACTGTCTTCGATTTCACAAAACTCCGTGTCCAAAGCCCCACACCAGCATGTGGTGTTAGGAGATTTAGGCCCAGGCCTGCTCTTGAGCCCACACTTTTCTGCTACTTAAGACAGAACCACCTAGCTAATGCCAACCCATCACCACCTTGAGAGAGAAAAGAGTCAACCCCTGTTGCAATGTCTGGTGCCTCAAATCCTAATTTTCCACCCCCCTTCTTCTATGACCTTCACATGTCCCACATTTTCCAGGGCAAGTCCAACTCTGAGCATTTTGGCCCCACTGCACCCCTGGGTGTACTTGTCGTCTCCTGGTGAGGCATTTCTTCCATGGAAGGGTGGGTGCTTCTCCCAGGATGATGCACTGTTTACCCGTCTGCTTCACCCGAGCATCATCATGCTTCATCTGCACAGGAACTCTAAGCTCCTTTCGAATCAGCCCTTCCCAGCTGGAGGACCATTCTCTTGGAGGGAATTCTAGAGACCACAGAAGAAACCCCAGCCCTGCCTCCAGTCATTTTGTTTTTATCTTTGCAGGTGTGGCGTTGGATGGAATGGCCCTTTTAGAACTCAATTTTAATGAACTCACAATGGGCAACGCCAACTTGTGATTTAACAGGAAACAGTGTGAAGTCCTGTGTTTAGATTTAAGAAATCAGGCCTCAAAAGTCACATAATAAAAATTCAAAATAGTAATCACTTCTTGGTTGTAAAAATAAAAACAAACTCAAGAGTATAATGTGACTGCTGAACAGAAAAGTGAGCGTACTATAGGATACATCAATGTCAGGTGAGTGTCCAGATCACAGAAAGCAAGTACTTGGCTGAGCTCTCCTTGAGGTGCCCTTATCCAGAATGACAAATGCTGTGGTCCATCCTCTGTGGCACGCTTATTAACAAGTGATAGGACCCCTGAGAAGGGAGAGATGTAGGGTCCAGCCTGGATAAGAAGAGAGGACAGAGAAGCATGCATGTGTTCAGCTGTCTGACAGGTTGCCCATGTGAAAGTGGAAGTTAAGAGCGAGAAGCAGCGAGAGGAAATTACTGAGATGCAAGTTTCTGTTCGCTATGAGGAGGAACTTCTAAAACCAGAACTGCAGCAGGCCAAGTAATGACCCCATAGATGTCTACACTTAATTCACGGCACCTGTGCCTGTGACCATATATGAGAACAGGCACTCTGCAGATGTGAGGAAGTTAAAGAGCTGGAGATGGAGAGACTTTCCTGGGTCATCCTGTGGGTCCCACAGAACCACAGGGGTCTACAGAAGATGGGGCAGAGCCTCAGAGGGGAATATGACAACACAAGCAAGGTCACACTCAGTTAAGTACCCGAGGGTGCTATCTGAAGAAGTCCAAACCCAGGAGCAGAGGCAGCGTCTAGTGGTAAGGAAAGAGGCAAGGAAATGGTCTCTCTCCTATACCTTCTAGAAGGAACAAACTGGGCTAAACACTCAATTTTAGCCAAAGAAGATCCAGGGAAGACTTCTGACCGGTAGAACTGGAAGAGAATTCATTTGGATTATTTTAAGTCACTAAATTTGTGGTGACTTGTTAGAGCAGCAGTAAGAAATGAATGCAATGTGTGGTAAGAAGGCAGCTGCAACCAGATCCAGTGAGCTCTGTCCAGAGGGCGACGAGGGGCAGACTGAGCATCAGTCCTGCCTTAACTGGCAAGTCGGCTGGGTGACGGCCTCTGACGGAGTCTGACCACAAGGCAGTGCCTTGTTTTTATGTTCCTACACAAGTCCCCACCCCTGTGCCCTCGGTAGGCAAGGCTTGTCCACGGTCTTCACCCAAGACAACTGTGGTTGTGACATTCCCACCACCACTGAGGAGAAGGCAGGGTTTAGGAGGAGGAGGTCCCCACAGCTTCTGGGCTCAAAGCAGAAGCCTGGCTGGGGACACCTACCTGAGCAGAGGACGCCCTTGTTTCTGGCACAAGAGAAGTTGTCACACTCGCAGAAAGGTCCGTAGATCTTCCCGAACTCACTCTCAAAGCAGGAACACTGGTTGCAGCTGCACTCACCGCGCCCGCTGCACAGCGGCTTGCCCTCCGCCTCCCGGCACAGGTTCTGGTACACGCTCTGGTTCTCCCCCTCCTGGCACTCACACCTGGTGCCCAGGTAGCTGGGGTTACACTCACACAGGCCACAGACATAAGTCCCATTCCTGCTGCACCTGGTGCTGTTGGGCTCCAGCCTTGTGCTGCAGCTGCACGTGCAATTGTAGGTGACCACCACCCGCAGGCTGTCTCGGAAGCCCACAGGCCGCAGAGTGAACGTGTGCTCAGTGTGTCTGCTGGGGCAGCTCCAGGCCTCCACTGACACTTCAAAGGATGCCTGGACAGAAGGGAGAGAGGGGACATCGAGGTCCAGGGCTTCCCAGACACCCATGGGCACAGCCAGAGTGAAGTTTTCTGCACACAGTAGAAGCCTGGAATGGCCGAGGAGAAAGAGACCCTGGGACCAGCAAGCTCCCTGACTCCTGGAACAGAGAATGTCCAGGTGTGCTGACACTCGATGGGCACTCTGCTCCGTTCTCTAACATTCGTGGTCTCTTAACATCCTTAAGACTCTGAGGAGAGGGGCTTCAAAGAAAGGCACTAGGAATCACTCAGGTTTACCTGGTTCTTGTGGTCCTTTCTTTTAAATTCTAGCTTCTCCTCCACCCACCTATACTCAGGACACCTCTCCCCTCTCCACTTCAAAAGCCATTCATCAGCAGAGATTTACTGGGTAGTGTGCTGGGTGTGGGGCCAGACGCAGAGGTAGGGTGGCACTCCTGACATGAGGTGCCAGGGTGGCAATCACCTGCCTGCCTCTCAGAACAGGGCTCCTTTCTGGGGCAGAAGGGTTGGGAGGACACCTGAGATCTGTTCACAGGTACCTCTGAACCCTGCCCCCATCCTGGGTCCCAACCCCACCTCTGGAAATAGTTCCCACAGTCACATCTTGCACAATCAGCCATGGCCCTGAGGCCTCAGGGAGAGTCATCGTCTGATGAAACATCAAGCAAAACATGGAAGTGGTTCTAACTTTGGAGCTTCTCATGGGATGCCTTAGAAACTCACAGCAAGGTGGGCCACGAGGCCAGGGGCCTGCGTGTGGATCCAATTGCCCACAGAGCCCTGGAGCAGGCATTGTAAATACTGTGGAGATGCCGCAGATGGCCAGCATGTGCAGAGGAAATGCCATGGGAAAGCGTGGGGCTCTCCCTACTCCCCAAACAGACAGGCCCAGCCCCCTCCAACTGACCCTGCAAGTCTGCGCCTGGATATCTTCATTTTCCAAAAGGCTCTCTAGCTGAATATGAAGCTCAGAATGACCTAGGCACCCCTGTTACCTATTACTATTCTTACTTCTATTATTTGGGTTGGAAAAAAGGTGATCTTTAGAAAGTCATCAAAAGCTTGCTTTTCTAGATACTCTTCGGGTAATAACATTATTTTTGAGAACACTAAAAATACTTGCTTCTAAAGATTCTGTATTTCCCCCTTACTCTAAGATCTTTACTTCTAAAGGGCTTTCCTCAGATTCTGTAACATCAGGAAACACCCAGCTCTCTGGGTCCTGGAGAAAGTCCTCCCTGATAACAAACCAGGGCCCCAGAGGCTTGACTGCAACTCTGGCCAAGAACAGGGCCAGGACCCAGGGTGCAGACACTCTGGACTGGCCCTACCTCAGGTCCATATCCATGTGGGGGGAGGAGAAGGAGGCAAAGGGGAAAGACTGACAAAAACTAGTTCAAGGCTGAGTTCCAAGGCCTGAGGCGTAAGGTGCTCAAGGTTAGGAAAAGGACAGGGCACACCTGGCGCTGAAATCCACTGACAACCTAGATTGAGCAGCCCCCGGGTGCCTACTGTGGACCAGCACTGCGCTGAGCACTCCCACAGTGTCTCCTTTATGTACCCCAAAAGGAGGCTCCCTCATTTCAGCAGGGAGAGATGGGGTGGAGGGATTATGAATTGGCCACAGTCCCACAGCAGTGGAGGTGGGGCTCGCCTGGAATGCAGCCTGTGTTCTCCTGCTCACAAAACCTCCTACAAGTGGGATGGGGTAGATGCCCATGCCAAGATCACCTCAAGGTGACCCTAAAGTGGTGGCCAGAGGTTTCCCCAAATCCTTCTTCCTCGGCTGGGAATAATCTGAATGTGAGAAGGAGAGGAATGAGCTTAAGGCACCAATGGGGCCATCTGGACTGCAGCGGGGAATACAGCCTTGCAGAAGCCAGACTCCTGCCCGCTCTGGGGCCCAGAGAGAAACAGTGACTTGCTTGGAGCTATTGATTCCCAAGGCTACAACTTGCTGGACCTGCTGAATGAAGTGCCTCAGCCCAAAAAGCATTCTGTAGGTCTGGAATCAACTACAAAGGAATGACCAGGACTGAGAGCCACAGGCGCTTAACTACTGAATGACCACAGGGAGTGTTTCCTGTGAGCATAACCTTCCCATGCAGATTGGCCTGCGTCACGGGACACAGTAAGGAAGGAGGGAACTGAGTCTCCCGAGTCTTCCGATCCTGGGGTGAGTGGAAGTGTCAAAGGAGCCTCTGAATCAGGACCCAGAATGCTCACACTGTCTGCCTGACTGGCTTTTAAGATCCTGGGGCGTCCTGGGCCAGGGCTTGGGCCATGGGGTCCATCAGTCTTCCCTGCCTTCCCCATCCTGGCCTTCAGCTGGCGGCCTGATAATCAGGGAGAGGCTCCCTTTATGCCACCAGGTCTTAGCTCCCGCTGGGCCCAGGAATGCTCTGAAAAGCACTGAAACAGTGAGTAGATCAGTTTGCTCACACCTCCTTTCAGAGTCTGTCTTCCCTATTGGATTAAGAAAGAATCCAGAGATGCTGGAAGGCTAAGGGAAATCGGTTTCTCTGAGTCTCTCCCCTGGCAACTGAGGATTCCAGCTCAGCACTGATAGGGAAAGCTCCTCAATTCCTGGACACTTTCCAGTCCTTCACTCCAAGACTCCAGCAGAAGGTCACAGGTGCAGCAGACTCGTGGCCTGGCCTCCGTGGGGTGCTCCCAGCTCCCCAGAAGGGCTGCTGGACCAGTCCACCCTTTCCAAAAGGCTGCCAGCCCCCTACCAAACCCCCAACCCCAGGGCTACACAGATGCCAGGTCCACTCAGATCTCGATAAAGACCTGGGCTCAGGCGACAGAGCCCAGAGCAGTGAACGGAGCAGGGGGGTGGGGGAAGGCGTGTAGTGAGGCCAGGACGGGGCTCACTGGGCCCTTTGTGCTGGGCATTACTGCTGGCCGCACAGCTAGCCACTCGCATACTGATGTGTCAAAGCCAGTAAATGAGGATGCCGACTCCCAGCAGCCGGGTTCCCTCGCCTGTGGTGTTTGGATCAAGGGAGGGGAATCAGAGGAGCACCTAAGCCCCAGTAGAAGAGAATCTCACTGGATTTGGGGCTTCCAGGTTTATTTAAGGAAGACTCCCCTTTGAGAACATCCTTGTCCCTCACCTCGTGCCAAATCTGTTTCTTGCTGAATAGATGCCTTAACCCAAGGAACCCAGGGTAGCCATAGAACCACTGCCTCTGGAAGTGATCCTAAGCTGCTACCTGTTCTGTGCCAGCTTCTGCAGGAAGCCATTCCTCCAAGGTGGTGAGATCCACTCAACCCAGCTGCCCAAAGCTGTGTGTCCTTGTACCCAGGCCAGACCCTGAGATCCCTGCTGACTGGTGACTCCTGCCTGCTTTTCCTAACCCCTCTTTTACCTGGTGAACCCCATACTCTTCAGCAGGGCTTCACATTCCTGCCCACATCTCATCATTCCCTGACTTGTACTTAGTTCTCCCAACTCACATTACTCAAGAATAGAACCTATCTGCCAAACAGTGGCCAGACCCCTAACTGGGCACAGATCCTACCAGTGTGGCCGGGGCCAGCTACTTGCCCCTGGGTCCCCAACCCTCTCCTCTCCTCACTACAGACATCACAGGCTGCTTCCACCTGCAAAGGGAGATGCTCACCGCACCCTGCAGCCTCGCCTTGTTGCTCACCAGTGGGAGTACCCACCTCCCCTTCCCTGCCTCATCCACAGCACCCTCTGCCATGGGATCTCTTCCTCCTCAGGACTCCTGCAGGGCCACACCATCTTTGTCACAGCACTATTCACCCTACTTGAGGTTGATTCATTTACGTGGTTACCTTGTCCACTGGACTCTGAGCCCTGCTTTCTGCCTCATCTTTACGTCCTGGGTGTGCACAATATCCAGCACATACACATTTACTAAATTTGAGTGGGTCAGCACAGTCACTGGCAAGTCCTGAAACATGTCCTCAGACACATGTCCACAGTGACATTATTGAGTATTTTGCTCGGTAAACAGCTGGTTGGTGCAGCCCAACTGTAATTCGCTTCTTCAGCCCACAGGGATGAAAAATTAGCCTTTTGTAGCCAGGCTTAAAAAAATCTCATTGATCCTAGCAAGTGTATCTCCCTCCGCTAGGGGGTCAGAGCCAAAGGAAGTTACGGATCCCCCTCTTTTGGTAAAAAGGTGTGGGCAGGGCCCAGCCCACGCCAATACTGGTTTTCTGGAGTTTGTGCTGTGGAGTCTTGCTCAGAAGGGCCGGAGCTTAGTTCAGCTGCTGTCTTGAGGTTCTTATAAGTTCTGAACATGGACGAACGTTTTCATTTTGCACTAGGATCATGGGACAGTGGTCCCTGGATGGTGAGACAACTCCAGGACAGCGAGGAGACACAAAGGGCTGGCATGACGCTTGATTCAGGGCCTGCTGCTGTTCCAGCAGGGCCGTGGCCATTGGATCCCACAGGGGGAGCTGCCGAAGGGGTCCCATGTGGGGAGAAGCTCCTTTATTACTGCTTCAAGCGCTCTGAAAATCATCCCAATACAGCAGTGATTCTTCCTGTTGTGACACCTGATATCGAAAATCTTTTTCTGATTTCTGGACGATGTCTATTTTTGGAGACACCCCAGCAAAAAGCTAAAGCAGCATGCCAGAGTGTCCGTGTGTAAAGAGCAATGATGCCACTGCACACTCCTGTCAAGCTCCCACTCGGGAAGTGCATGCAGTCTAAGGGGACAAGCATGGGCTGGGGCACTGGCACCCCGATTTCAGTCCTGACAACTGCAACATACTGGCAGTGGACCTTCTGGCCAGTTTCTTGGGCTCCCTTTGAGGTTGTATTTATTTTGCTCATTAAAATGAGAAGTAGAGGCTACCTTACAAAGCTGCTACAGGAAACAGAGAAAACTGCAGTGAAGTCCCTGCTGCCATTGGGTGGGCTACAGATGCCCAACAAATGGCGACGCACAGGACCCCTCTGTGGTCAGGAGGCTGTGCTTACCGAGTGGATTCAGTCTGGAGTGGAAACGTTGTGGTTTGGGTTTTGACTCTAAAGCCTACTAGTGGGGTGAGTGTGGGCAGGTCAGTCCCATCCCCATGTCTCAGGCTGCCCATCAGCAGGAATGTAGCACTCTGGTCCACAGCCAAGCTGGTGATTGTGTGAACTGAGTGTGGTAAGGGACACATGTGCCCCCAGTAAACTGCCCTCTCGGTGAAGGCTCCTGTCTATTATCAGACTGTGTCCTGAAACATGTCCTTCGAGAGAGGGTGACAGGACAGGACTGGGAGCATCCTATCTGACCCAGCTGTTCCCCTCCTAAGTATCTTCCTGGAAGAATTCAAGACATCATCTTGCAGCAATCCATGCATACTCATGTTTATAGCAGCATAATTCACAATAGCTAAATCTTGGAAGCAACCTGTGTGTCCATCAAGAGATAAATGGATAAGGAAAATGTGGTACTCCAGTGGAGTACTACTCTGCTATAAAAAAGGATAAACTTGAGGCCTTGGTAGGAAAATGGATGCATCTTGAGACCATAATGTTAAAGTGAAATAAATCAGACACACAAGCTTAAATGTCACATGGGTTCTCTTATATAAGAAACCCAAAATATAAAGCACAAAATAAAAGATAGGAGGGGCTGGGGATTAAGCTCAGTGGTTTCGCTGCCTGCTGCGCAAGCGCAAGGACCCAAGTTCGATTCCCGGTACCAAAAAAAAAAGATAGATAATAGGAAATAGAGAGATAGACCTTTTGCCAATGGGAAAGGGACCAAGAGATAGAGGGAGAGGGGAAGGATGGGAGGGAAAGGGATGAAAAAAGAACTGAAGGTATGTAATGTACATGTACCAGTTCCTCACAAGGAATGTAAACATTGTGTACTGCAAACATGTATTAATAAAAACAAAAATTGGGAAAAAAAAAGAGAGAGTGGGGCTAGATGAAGGTGGTATAGGGTGCTGGCTATAGAACCAGGAAGCCCTGGCTTGAACTTTCACCTCTACTTATGGCTGTGTCACCTTGGGCAATTAATCCCATTCTGTGTGTCCCCATTTTTCTCATCTGTCACCATGGGTGCTGATGTCCTCCTCACAGGTGGGAACGCAGAACTATTCACACCCTAGTCTGCTTAGAGCCTTTCTTGGGACTAAATGTATTTATCCCTTAGGATAAATAGGGAATCTCAGAATTCTTATAATGATTTTCCCATTTGTGCTTCAGGCAGCAATTGGCTGAAGTTTCCTGCTTCCAGGAAGAGCTCCATTCTGACTTTATGGTGTGATTATCAACAAATACCACATCCTTTGACTTCTCTGGTTTCTAGCCAATTTGTCAAGATAGCTACACCCCCTTTTTAAAAAAAATCTGACCATAGAACTCCATATGTAGTCTGACACTTGGGAAAAAAATAATGGCACCACAGTCTCTGGGGTTTCACAAATACTTCTATTAATGCAGCCCAATTGGCGTTCCTTTTTATTTCACTTTATTTCTTTTTTCCAGTACTGGGGACTGTACCAAGGGAGTGCTGAGCTGCATCTCCAGCCCATTTAAAAAAAAAATTGGGGGAGGGGCAGGGATTTAGTTCAGTGGTTCCGCCGCCTGCCTTGCAACTGCAAGGAGGTCCCGAGTTCGATCCCTGGTACCAAAGGGAAAAAAAAAATTTTGAGACAGCATCTCACTAAATTGCTCACTAAACTGGCCTGGAACTTGTGATCCTCCTGCCTCAGCTTCCTGAGTAGCTGGGATTACAGGTGTGGGCTACCACAGCTAGCCCGTCTACCCTATTTTTTAAAAGCAACACTACTTAGGTACATTTAACATTTGAGCCAAGACCTATCAGAATAAGTTTTTAAAAATTCCTGTCAGACCCATGTTCTTCTTACACTATTAATATTCTGAGTGGAAACACAAGATTTAATCCTGATAACTCCAACCCAGCTCAATTTTGAAAACAATTTTAAAATACAGGTTCTGCTACTTTATAAGAAGCTGTTTCTCCAGCTCTGTAACCTTCCCACATGTGATAAGCAGATTTCCTGGGAGTTCAATGTTGCTAACAGTAAACAGATGCAAGACACCTGGAACCTCAGTCAGGTCCTCCCCACAGAGCGCTTGTTACCCAGCTGACCCTGCCTGACTGTGCTGTCCTCAACCCTCAGATTTGTCCAATTACAGGGTGTCAACAGGAATCCTCAAGGGCCCTCCCGAAGCCTGGAGTGGTGGTAGTGGTGGGGTGGGGGGTGTGTGGGGTGTGGGGTGTGTGGGGTGTGTGTGTGTGTGTGTGTGTGGGTGGGTGTGTCTTTGCACACAGCAACCCATCCTCTCCTACTTCTCTCCTATTTTAACAAAAGAGGTCCTTGTTTGGGTGTGTTTCACCCCCATTCTTCAGTTCTACAAACACGGTGCACTGAACATTCCACCTAATGACCCACAGAACTCACTCAAATGTGGTTTCTTCCCCTTCTGCCTCCCTCCATTTTCATTACTGTCTCTTTAAACTCCATGATTTTAAGGCTTTAGTGTTATTTTTAAAAATTCATCTCCATTGAGTAACCATTATAATTGTTCAAAACAACATAAATACATTACAACTTCTGAAATTATTAAAAATAAAAAGTAAAATTTTACTGGCCAGCTCTCTTTAAACAGATGAGGCCTTGGGGCCGGGGACTTAGCTCAGTGGTTTCGCCACCTGCTGTGCAAGCACAAGGACCCAAGTTCAATCCCTGGTACCAAAAAAAAAATTAAAAAAAGAGAGAGATGAGGCCTTTCACCCAAGTAGTTGATACATATGGTAAATATTACTTACAGCTACACAAGGCAGGGATCACTATCAGTTACATTTCTCGCTCTGTTGGTACAGACTTAAGCACAAAAAATTCATCTGCATAGGGCTGGGGATTTAGCTCAGTGGTTCCGGTGCCTGTCTCGAAAGCAGAAGGTCCTGAGTTCAATCCCTGGTACCAAAAAAAAAAAAACAGACAAAAAACATTCATCTGTATAAACAGGAAGGAAGTTTTTCATCTTTCCTGAAGGCCTTCTGATTAAATGCCATAAAAGTCACTTGTAATGGCTTATCAGACAACTTGTTTAGGCCTTTTTTCAAGTTTGTTAAAAGCAAAAGATACTGTGAACAACCTTCTGAGGAAAGGATCTGTTACTTAGGCAGGAGCTCTGCACCCTCTCAAGTTCCACATCATGCTCTGAACTGTCTGTCTGCTGGGGCAAGGCGTTCCAAGATCTGAAAAGGGTGAGAGGTTTGTCTGTGATCTGAGAAGCGGCAAAAGGCCACTGTGAGAGCAGTGAGATGAGAAAGGATCTGGGGAGGAGAGCGGGAAAATCCCAGACCTGCTGCTGAGCACCCATGCAGCTACACCCATGTCTCCCTGAGTCAGAGGAAGTTGGCATCGTTGCTTCTGAATGCCCACAGAGTAGTTACCTATTTTTTTTGGTACTTCGGATCAAACTCAGGACCTTGCACTTGCCAGGCAGGCATGGTGCCACTGAGCTACATTCCCCACCCAGGGATATTTTAAGGTCCTTATAATTTTTCTGTTTACAGCCGGTCTCTGAAGTGTGGGAGACAGCGTTCCTTCCTTCACTCCCTTTGTTTTCTGGCCAGTGGAACAGTCAGTGGGTCTCCTGCAGTGGGCACCTCTAGAAGACGTGTGTACAGCCCTCCAGTGCCACTCTGCACGGGTACCTGTGTTCCAACTGCTCATGACTCTTCCCTACTCCAACACTTGAGTGCACATAGCTGCACATCCTTACATGTACCATTTACACCCATTATCTGGTGAGGCAGCTGTTCCTGATTATATCCCTGTAAAATGAAAAGTAATGGTTCAAAACACCAAGGGTACAACGTCAACTTGAGGAATCCACAGGTTTGATGCGCTGAGGCCTATCTTTTGACTAGAGCTCCTTAACAAATGAACTTGGGACTCTGAGCACATAATGCAAAGCAGGCTTGGGAACTCCCCAAGATGCTGCACTGGAGGACTGAGCACAGGGGTCTCTTGTGGTCACAAGGGTTACCAGAATCCAAAGACTGATGACCAATGCTACCAAGAGCTCACTGAAACCAGTAGTGAGTACTTACAGTGTCTCCGATCTTCAGGCCCTCACACTTCCTCTGATTGGGGTAGGAAAGGCCATCCTGGCAGGTGGCAGTGAAGAAGAGGTTAAGATCCTCAGGCTGATCCCAGACGGACAGCTCCACTTTAGACCGGATACTCTGAACAGAGGGAGAAAATGAAACCTGAACCATTTAATAAAGGCTACCGCTGTTACCAACGTGGTTTTCAGATGCCCATGTGGCTTCTATCTCTGGAGGCTTAAGCCAAGGAAAGAGCCAGCAGGTTTGGTTCCCTGCCTTCCCTCATCCCCTTTCTTCTCTCTATACCCAGACACCATCTTGGTAGACCCTAGACCCGGCTTGAGGTCTCTTTCCGTGAGCTTAGACAGCTGTTAATGGCCTACTGACCAATAACATTATTATCTGCACAAAGGGGTCATGTTCTGTGTCCTCTTATCCTCAACCTCCCCTCGAGAGACAAGCAGTTCCTGAAATCTTACCATATGCTCTCCAGGCTTCCGGCCTTTCCACCTGTCCAAGATTCCACTCCTTTGCCTAGTGGTTCTTCTCTGTTTCCCCTGGCTAACTCTTACTATGCTGCAAAACCAGTTCAGCAGGCACTTTCTCCAGCCTACAATCCCTCCTACTCAAGCCTATTCCCCATCATGAATGTGAGGTCCACATCCGTGAGTTGGAAACATTATGAGAAAGTTCAATCTTCTGTGTGGATTGTTCTCAAGGCAGTGCATGAAACAAAACACAAGTCAAAAAGATCCACTGGAATAGAAAATTGCTCATTGGAGTACAAGTTGGTACAGCCCTTTAGAAAACCATTAGGTACTGTCCGCTAAAGCTCAGGCCAACCTTAGATAGACCTAGCATTCACCTAAGGATTATACCCAACAGTTGTATAAGTCACCAAAAGACATGAATGAGCGTGTTTACAGCAATGCAGTGTGGAATAGCTAGAATCTGGAAACTTAACAATACCTATCTATTGTAGAATGAATTGAAAAAAATATTGCAGTATGTTCACGCAACAGAGTACCTTACAATAGTAACACTTAATAAAATACAACTATACGCAATGACACTGATGAATCTTACAAATGTCACAAAAGAAATGAGACACAAAGGCTTACTATATAATTCTATTTATAGATTTAATGACATTTTGGTCCACAACAGACCACATATACCATGATGGTCCCGTAAGATTAAAACAGAGGTGAAAAAAGTCCTATTACACAATGTTATGGTTTGGATCTGAAATGTCTCCCCAAAATGCAAGTGTTGAAGGATTGGTCCCCAAAGCAGCAGTTCAGAGGTTGCACTATTGGTAAGTGATTGGATTTTGAGGGCTCTGACTTCACCAACTGACTAATTCATTGACCAATTCATAACCTGATGGTATTTTAAGAGGTGGTAGAAACATTAGGAAATAGGGCCTACTTGAAGGGATAGGTCACTGGAGGAGTGTCCCACCAGGGCTGTGTCCCGCAGCAACTTCAGCTTTCTTTTTGCTTCTAGACGCCTTAAGGTGAGCAGCTTTGCTGTGCCATACCCTCCCTACCCTGATTTCCTCCTCACCCAAGTCCAGGAGCAACAGGACTAAGCATCCATGGACTGAACCTCTGAAACCACAAGCCAAAATAAATCTTTCTTCCAACTGTTTAACTGAGGTATCTTGTAACCATGCTGAAAAGCTAACATACATAATATTTTTCTATTCCTTTCCTATGTTTAGATACACAAATACCATTGTGTTTAAAATGCCTACAATGTTGCCTGCAGTTTGTAGCTTTGGGGCTACAAACATACCATTCAGGTTTGTGGCCTAGAAGCAAAAGGATATACCATACAGCCTAGGCTACACCATTTAGATTTGTGTTAGGACACTCATATTTGTGCAATGATCAAACCACCTGAGGACATATTTCTCAGAACATATCCAATAGCTCTTGCTCTTGTGGTTTTTTCCCTTCCTTTTCTTTTTTTTTTTCCTGCTGAGCATGTACTGCTAAACTTGAATAAGTGAAATATGCAGTTTTCTCAACAAATTAACAGCTGGTTGAAAATATTCTCTGGAAAAAATAGTCTCTTCCTTTGCAACAAATTGTCTAAGTGCTTCTACAACTCTAAAAATACTACCCCTCTCAAATGCACTTCCTCTTAAGAGTGCCAGTCTCAAGTGGCCATGGATCACAGATGTGCCACTCAGCACACAAAACAGCGCTGTTCTGCTGAATGTGACTGGTTATTCACAGATCTGTCTTGTGGCTGCACTGTGAGCTCCAAGGGCTGTGTCATATATAGTCTCTCCCTGGGACTTAACACAAGTTCTTGTTAAATTAACAGACATATGGCTGGAAAGATGCATATTTTAACAACAGTTATGCTAAGGTGCTACGGTCAAGTAGAGGAAGATTACATTTATTTTTTAAAGGTAAAATTAAAAAATACTTTTACAGTTATATGTAAGTATGAGGATGTGATAAATGCTCTAAGAGGTAGGTTGGAGCGATGTAAAAATTATATGAAAATTAAAAAATGATATAAAATAGCCACTTGAACTACGGGAGCCTGTGATCCAGGGACAAAATGTTGAAGAGAATAATCAGCATCTCCCCACTGAAGTTTGTTGAACTTGCCACTTGGAAGTGTCGGGGGGAGGGGGGAGAGGGGGGTTGGCAGGGGAAGCATGAGAAATGGACTTCTATTCTACAGGTCACAGGATAGAAAACAAACCCTATGTTTTACTCAGGCTCTAGAATCCCAAGGCATGAGCTCTGACCTGAAGTTTGCATTATTCCTGCTCTCAGCAAAGCTTCTGGAACCAGAGACTCTTAAAATGCTGTAGGTGAAAAAATGCTGCAAGTGGCAGGAACTGTGGAGATGATTCAGTTCAAACCTCTCATTTATGTGAACAAAAACTGAAGCCAAATTTGGCTGCCAGAGGCAGGCAGAACAGGAGCAGGCCGGTCTTCCCTTCTCATGGCCATTCTAATCCACACCTCATGGAGATAAGACCCAGCTCTCAGACGCTGGAAAGTGTGGATCAGAGGGTTATATTCTGGTCATAAGAGTGTTTCCCCCCAAAGGATTATGAGCTGGGGGGTGGGTGTTGTTTTATTGTTGTGGTGTAACGTGATGCCTGTCACTCACTAGGCCATTAGTATATATTTGTGGAATGAATTACAAAATATAGTAGAGGACCACAGTCACAGACAATCAGTTCTCACATAGAAGAGTTATGTATGACTTTTGAGATTCAACGAATTCTCATCAGACTTGCCCCTGAAGATGGTTCCTACTCCCCATTCTAGGCAAAGGACACAATGTCAAGACTGTCAAAAGTTTATTAAAGGCTATTCTACTACACACTCAGTCAGGTTAGGTCACATCTGTACTTGCTTTAAGTCAGACCAGCTGTGGAATGGGTGGAGCAGACTTTATGGCAACAACCGAAGAAGAAACATGTGCTCTGCTAGAGGAAAACACACCACGGGCTCTGATGTCACCCTCCACAGGCAGCTCTACTGGTTTCCAGCTCATTCTTTTCTCGCTCACTTTGAAAAGAGGGATCTGCGATTTCTTTCCGAGCCCTGCCTCCCCATTGTTAGTGCAGCACATTGCTGTCATCTGTGTGTGTTGTGTGTGCACGCACATGTGTGTACCCAAGACCTGGCAGCTGAGCTCCCTGGGCAAAGCTCCATGCCACCAAACTCCCTTGCGAGGACTTGGTTATTTTTCACACTGAAGAATTTGGCACAACAAAATGTGTAAATCCAAGAGTTGAAAATTTCACATTATAAGAGATGTGTACAGCAGACTGTCTATAAGACATCAAGGTCCACATACACTTTGCCTGTTGCTCCCTCCACAGCAGGGTTGAATACAACAGTTATTTCATCTGTTACATACCCTCCAACCCCAATCTTCTCAGAATGCCTCCAGTGATCACTTGCCAGCCCTCCAGGGGAGCTAAAAGCCAATACCCAGACTTGGTCATGTGTTGCATGATTCATATGAAATCTACCACAAACTACTCCTACTGGAAGGAACACCAGAAATGCAACCATAACACAGGGCTTTAACCAGAGCCTGGCCAGAGACAGAATCAGGTGAAAGGCTGCAAGATAAAAAGTGCCTTGCTGGGCAAAGTCCACCCCACACACAACAATGTGGGCTTAAAGACAGGAAAATGCCCAGCCCAAAAGATAACATCAAGAAGATGGGTATCTAAGGAAAAAAGAAAATTGTTTTTCCTACTCTCTAGTCTTATACACTACTCAACACAACACTGCCAACACCTGGAGGGTGACACCTGCCTTCCCTCAACAAAATTCTCCATCAGACACCAGCTGGGTGCCCTGTAAATTCAATTCAGTTCTGACAAGTGTCTACCTGAGACAGTGTCAGATCTCCCAGGTTAAAGGCTCAGTCCCACAAGACCCCACCCGTGGCAGTTTTGAGCAGTAGATTGTCACCTACACTTCTGACCAACCAGCTAGAGATCAGGGTTCCCATAGTGCCCTCCTGGAGTTCCATTAATGTGCTAGGATGGGCTCAAAGAGCACAAGGCCACACCTTACTGGTGTTTACTGGCATACTAACCAAGGACACAGTAAGGGATAAAGATGAACACCTGGTGGAACACAGGCAGAGAGCCAGGTGTGCAGAAGGGGAACAGTTTCCATGCCCTCTCCAAGTGTGTCGCCCTCCAAGAATCTCCACTGTTCAGCAGTCGAGAAGCCTTTGGCTTTTTAATGGAGGCTTCATCATATAGGCATGACTGATTACATTTTGTCCACAGGTGATCAACTCAACCTTCAGCCCCTCCCATCCTAGGAGGTCAGCAGTGGTGCCAGAGTCCAATCCTCTGATCATGCTCTGGCCTTTCTGTGGCCATCCCATCCTCAAGCTATCCAGGGTTTTACCAAGCCAGGACGCCCCCATCCATCAGGGAACACAGAGGTCTTAGGAGCTCTGTGTTAGGAACCAGAGTGAAAGACCAAATACTAGGACACTAGATTCTCCGACTGCCCCTAACTATAAGGAGCTTCATGTCAGGAATCGGGAGCAGAGATCAATGTGTATCTTCTTATTACTGCACGGTATTACAGAGCACTAACATCCCAGCGTGGCTTTCACCAACTAGACCTTGCTCTGAATATCCTGCAGCTTCACATTTAATTTATTTTAAAACTTCAACTGCAAAGGGGCAGAAGTAGGGAATTACCAAAGGTCACAACTTTTGGGACTGATGGACATGTTTAATAAACTGATGGAGTAATGGTTTCACAGGTGTATACATGTGCCAAAACTTACCAAGTTGTAAAATTTAAATCTGTATGCTTTGCTGTGCATCATCATACCTCAATAAAGCTTAAAAAAATTTAAATTGAATTTGAATATTGTTAACGGTATTCTAGAAATTGTTCTTTTTTTTTTTAAGTTGAGTTTCCAGTGTTCATTCATAAGCTGTATGCTTTATTTCATAACATGTTTTCTACAGAAGCCAGTCAAGCAATAGTACAAGGTCCCCACATTTCTCAGGAGGTTTATCCCAGGTTCCTGATGTAGCTCTGGCCTGGTAAGATCATTTTCTCTACTAATCTCTGGTCCCAACTTCTCAGTGGCAGAGAGGGCTTCCCACTCCTCTCGTTTCCCTTTATTGCTCACTGATCCCCCAATCCCTGGATTTCCATTAAGAAAAGAAATTTATATACAACGAATCCTGTTCAGGGCCAGTGCCACAAACCCCAGAGAAAGAACACCACTGAGAATTTCTGAGATCCACCCAGGGACCCAGTAGCCATGCCTTGTGCTTAGCTTTTGGCGTTTCCATGCATAAGCACAGACACAACAGCCGTGAAATGCTGATGACAGAGAACCCTCCTGGCAGACACCGCCCAGCCAGCTTCTGGCACAGTGTATCATGACGCCCAGAGCTCTGCCAGGTCTGAGCTAGGAGCTGCCTGGGGGATGGAAATGTGGACGTGGTTCTTCCCACAGATGCCTTCAAACACACCACAGAGCCCAGACAAGGCTCAGCCCGTCTTCGAGAAGGCCCTGACTCAGCAGGAGCTGCTGCTGTCACCCTCCCACAGTGGCTCCATTCCCACAGGAGGGGTAAGGACGGCAGGGCAGGGATTTCGGCTCTCACTCTGATTCCTGTAGTCAGTGTCCACCAACCGGAGCCCCAGAGACTCAAAGTGAGAAACATCCCTTGGGAAGAGGGGACCCTGCACACTCACACTCACCCTGCAAGCCCCTCTCGCTATGTTACATTTTATCTGCTGTGCCCAGGGGACTGAGTGTAACGGCTCTCCTTCCTGAAACACAAACCAAATTACTCCCTGTGGAACTGAAAACCACTATAATGTAAATTAATTCGGAAACCCTGACTCACCAGGCTCAGGGGCAATGTTAGATCTGATGAGGATTTTAAAGTCAGAGATACAAAAAAGGCTGGCCTGTGGGGAGAATGGCAAGAGAAGAGAAGTCTAAAGTTTCTCTCAGCAGACCAGGAGGAAGGAGATACCAGCATTTGGAGAAGAGAAGCCCTAACCACAGCCAAAGGAGTGGGGGAGATATAGGAGGGAGGGAGGCAGGGCAAACCCATCAGAAATCCTGCCTGCTGTTAGGAGTACAGGGTTACTTAAATCACACTTTTATTCTAACAGGAAGATGCAACCTGAATTCCAATCTGGGAATTATCCTACTTCTTTGAGGGTGTGGTGGGCACTGGACACTAAGTCCACACTGGGACCCTGCAGGGAGGGAATGGCTGGGTGCACACTTCCCAGACAAGGAACTGGGCTCAAGTTTCCTGAGGGAGCCCCCAAGCAAGCATTTCTTGACTGTTACGTATTAAGGGACAGGAAGTGGGAACAAGAAAGGTTTCAGAAATGATTCCTCAGCCGATTAACTTGGGGTATGGAAGTGACCCCTAAACCATGTCTAAAGAGCCTGGACTTACATTAGGCACCACGTTCTCACAACAGGTTACAAGAACACACAATCTTATAGGCCCCTCAGAGTCCCTCTAGAGGGACTGTCACAATGAGGTCCCAAGTAGGTGGGCAAAACCCTGATTACTGGTTCCTCTCAAGTCCTCTCCTGTGCCGCCCACAGCTCTCTGCTGAGCATCACAGGTCGGGGGATTTTCCAACTGACCGCTGTGAGGCGAGGGCAGGTGCAGGCCTCTCCCCGCCATAGCACGCAGCCGTGGCTAGTGGACACCCTGTGCCTCACACAGGGAGGGAACACTGTCCAGGGCCAGGTGGGCAGCTGGACAGGTGGACACACCAGGTGTCACTGCCCAAGCACACCCAGGGCCCCTGGGACCATCCCAGGATGGATGGTATCGCACAGGTGAGGAGAGAGGGCGCATCAAGCCTGGGTGTAGGTGGAAGGTGTCCAACTCGGGGAGGGCAGGGAGCAGTTAAGTCCACGAGCACGTGCACCGCCCAGTGGAGCCTGCGTCAGGTCCGAGGGCCTCTGTGGGAGAGGGCAGGATGGAGGTCATGGTGAGAGACAAAGTCAGTGACTTACACTGTATGCATTGATAATCAGTTGAATAATATTTCTGGAGTCTCCATGTAAAATCTCCACCGTGGTTCCAGGTATCAAGGCTGTAAAGTTCTTGAAAAAAAATAAAGACAAGAATAAGTCCATTTTGCCTTCCATTCCATCAGAGTGAACACTATTGCACTGACTGGACAGTAAGGCCCAGCACTCAGTTCTGCCACTCTTGTGCACAACAGACTTGGGAGAAGACACAAGAGGAAGGCGCAGAGAGCTCCGGCAGAGTTGCTGCAGTGGGCTGTGCAGCTCAGCTTCCAGCCCTGTGAGGAGGAGGGGAAGGAAGGGGCTGGCCACATCTGTTCCCAAGGGCAGTCCTGGAGACCTCTCGCCTCTGGCACAGTCTGTCCTCTGAGCTGACCCTGCCCTTCCCACTTCTTGCTGTTCCCTGGTCTACACAAGTAGAGGGTTCAGCTCCTTGGATGCTCTGTTTGTTCACACAGGGGCAGAGGCAACTTGCCTAAGGGTCCTGGATACACCTGCTTTTCTCAACAGGGAGCTGAGATAGGAAGGTCCCCTCCCCAGGACCTCTCATTCCCTGAGTGAGGCGCCAGAAAAGTGGTAGCCTGTCCTCTTGTGTTCGTACCAACTCCTGATGTGGCCCCTGCAACAGGGACAAGCATCCCTGCCCTCAGCCTGCTGAGAGCTCCTGGGCCTCCTCCCTCCCTGAGAAAGGATGGCTGAAGCCTAGGAGGACCTCCACCCTCTTGAAACATCTAGAAGCCCAAGACAGTACGTGCAGTGAATCCCTCTAAAAATGGGGTTTGTAGGTGGAGACGCTGTGATCTCCCGCCAGACACCCATCTTCACTTGGTGTAGCTTGTTTAACTCAGGCTACAGGAAGGCAACAGCGGCATATTCATGAATGATAATCTCAGACTGTTTAAGAGAATCCTGAGGGGTGAACAGCAGAGAGAGCCGGGCTTCCATCCAGCCCGTGTGAGCTCTCCTTGTGCAGCTCGGGGGGTTGAGCTCAGTGTTCAGCTCAGCTGTAGCTGTAGGAAAGTGGGGGGTGGACGGTGCTGGTCCAAGGGACAAGCTGGGAAAAGCCTTGTTAGATGGAATAGACTCACACAGATGCTCTGTTCACTCAAGACGTTCTTGGGGAGCTCCTGACCAGGCCACCCCTCGTCTCGCACCCACCACGGGGAAAGCATAAAAGTAGACTACTAGGTTAGTGATGGTGGCTGACGATCTCCTTTTGGCATTTTTTTTCTTTTGAGACAGAGTCTTGCTATGTAGTTCAGGCCATCCTTGAGCTCACGGTGTAGCCCAGATTGGCCTCAAACTCACAATGATCCTCCCACCTCAGCTTCCCAAGTGCTGGGATTACAGGTGTGCCCCACCACACCTGGCTCTGCATTGTGTGTGTGCGTGCGTGCGTGCGTGCGTGCGTGCGTGTGTGTGTGTGTGTGTGGTACTGAGGATTGAACCCAGGGCCTTTTCACTAAGTTATACCCCCAGCCCTTTTTAATTCTGAGATAGTCACTAAGTGTCCAGGCTGGGCTCAAACTTGAGATCCTTTCTCCTACCTCAGCCTCCCTGAGCTCTGAGTACAGATCTGTGCCAGCACACTCGGCTCCTTTCAACACATTTTCATTTTATATTTTTCTTCCCTATTAGAGTGTGCTTCTAATGTTCCATTTCACTCTCTGAAAATGGAAATTCATATTATTTTCAAGGTTTTTCTCAGAATCAACTTAGATGCCATGTTTAATTCTTTGTGAAACTACTCATAGCTATGTAAATGCTTAAGCATTTCCTTAGTATTATTATTGTCCACTAGATCAAGACAGGGCTATATTGCACCCCTCCTTTGACTCTGCCCACAGAGAGGTGGGCTGTGAACAATCCTAGCCCCTGTATCCCAAGCCCCCACTGGCTTTAGGGTCAGCAAGGGCCCCAGAATCTGGCCCTCCTCTTCCTCTCCACTCCCCTCCAGACATACCTTGTAGAGCATATAGTGGTTCTTTGTCACAGCAAAGATCAGGTTGATGTTGTTCTCTGCCAACTTCTCTCCAAGCAAGGCAAGGGATGGATAGTCCTAGGGCCAAGGCGGAAGTCAAGGGTATGCCATTCTAACAGGCTGAGGTGCCCACCAGATACCATGCAGGAGGTGAGGACTGGGGTACTCCATGCCCAGTCTGTGTGTCTGTCTTTTCAGCAGGGTGGGAATGTGGGGAACCTGAGAAGAGCCACCATGTCCCCCCACGACCCTCAGCACCTGGTATCTTCCCCACAACTCCTCCTTTCCTTGTGCCTAACGGTCAGGCCCCCAGCCCCTCATCCTGCTCATGGCTCAGAAAGGGGCTGGCTGCTATCTCCGGGCTAAAGCTTGGTCCCAGGGCAGAGGTACAGAGGGAGGGGAGGCAGTGAGGCATCGAAGCAGGGTCTCAAGGATTTCATGGGCTACTGACAGGCACAGGGGTTACACTCGGGTGGGGCCATGGTTATATGTCCTTGCCTGATCCCAGCGTTCACAGTCTGGAGGCGTGGGTGTGATCACCTCTTGAAACGAGAAAAGGGCCTTGGCCAGCAAAGAAAACTGGGAAGAACACCTCTCTGGCCAGAAACCAGGATAGACTCGGGAAAGAGGAGGGTCCAGATTGCTGGAAAAGTCTGCACAATAGTATGGCAAGATCTTGATCATCATGGTGCTGGGGACAGGGGTGCAGGAGTTCATCGTACTGGTCTACTAGTACATATGCTTGAAAAGTTGCATTAACCTTTTTAAATTAAGTCATCACAGTCACAGATTATTGGGAGTAGTGGGTCCTCAGGAAAACGTCTTTCCTAAACTCTGTCCTGACTTCCCAGGAGACCTCATCCCCTACTGAGACACTCTTTATTCGGGTACACAAAGGCAGCTACAGAAGTCCCTGAGATGTGCCAATTTAATGAGGAGTTCAGAAACCCAACTGAAAAGACAGAATAATGAAGGAAACTTAACCCCAAGAATGGACAGGAAAGTCAGCGCAGGAAGGTTTGAGGCAGGCGAGCCCTGCCCGTATGCAGCCGAGCCCACCCATCCTCACCATCTGGTCGGACGCGGTGTACTCGTTGGCATCACTCAGGTGGCACTGGCCATCATGTGGCTGCACCAGGCCCCCCAGCTTCCCATCCAGCGCGATGTGGGGCACATCGTCTGTGGTGAGCACCAGCAAATGCAGCGCATCCTTACGCCAGCCGATCTTCTCCTGAAGGAGAGACAGGGTGGGTACAACCTGCCTGCCCTGGGCAGCAGACCAGACACTGCCCACCTCCGGGGCCAGAGGTCTGCCTCACCCTGCTCTCACCCTGTGCCCAGGGGGCTGTTCATTTAAACCACTGGGATGGGTCCACAGTGAGCCCCTGCACTGGGGAACACATGGGCACACAGGGGCAAAATCCAAGCCTCCACCCTCGCTGGCCCATGGCCTGGGGCCACACCCCCGCCCCAAGGGATCACAAGTTCCTTTGGGTGCCGTTCTTTTAGTCTGGCTTACTGTTCCTTCCCAGAGCAATTTGGGAAGGTGCTGACCGCCAGGCTGCCAGGCTTGTTTGAGATGATGGTTAAGTGAACACATCAGTTGCCCTGTTAGACATGAATTGCTCAAATGACCAGCAGACAAGCCTGCCTGCCTCTGCAGAGCTGGTAAGGGTGGCCACCTCTCCTGGGGGTGTAAACCACTCCAGTCATTAACAGAATCACTCAGATCAGCTCCTCTCCCCTCCTGCTTCACTATATGGATTTATCATCTTCAGAAGTACAGTCTGTGTGGGTGAGGAAAGGGCTCTGCATTTTTCACATTCAGTCACCATGGCCCCAGTGTTGCAGAAACACACTCCTAGTTATTTAGAAGCAGCTAGTTTAGACAGAGCGTACAAAACCTTGCATTTATGAATCTTTTTACTAAAGCTGAAAGGGCATCCCAAGAGGTTGGCAGAAAGGTGAACACAAGAAGGATTTACGAACTTTCCAGAATTGGCTACACGTGCACCCTGAACTGAAAGAGGTGATGGGATTCCCAGACTTCACAGGTGAACAGCTATTCCTACACCAGATAAGAATGGAGGACACCATCCTCTCTTCTTCCTCATCACAGGGATGGATAAATAGCCTAAAGAGCCATGCTACAGTCTCACTTGTTCCAGCAACAGCACAGACAAAGAAAAATACATCATAAAAAGTCAGAGCAACACAAGGGAGAAAGGGGCTTGGCAAGAAGCCAGAGGACTGAAGGACAGGAGACTCAGTGGGAAGTCAGTTCCCGGACACAACATTCACCTCCTAGCTTAGATGAACCTTAAGCTCAGCTGGAATGGTGAAGGGCAGACTTCGAGGAAACCAGAAGAAGAAATAAGGAGGGAGAAGGCAGAACAGGGGGGTGGCTATCCTGGGCACCAGTGAACATACAGAAGGGAAAGACACACAACAAGGAGGCGGACACATTTTAGGGCCCTAGGAGTCCCTTGTGGCTAAGCCAGGACAGAGCTCTCTGTGGTGTCCAAGTCGAGACAGTGGCTCCTCTTGGCAGGACTGGAGGTCACAGGCAGCTTTCAGGTTTCTGGTAATACTATCTGGACCTGAGTTCTTCTCTTGTGAGCATCTACTGAGACGTACCCACACATGGTTCTTTATGTGCATATTACATTCTGATAAAGGGGTAGAGACTTTAAAATAAATAAAACAATGCATCATAAGCCATGGGGTATGGAAGAGTAGGCAAGAGGCTTGGGAGGTAGAGCACAGCCAAGACAGAACATAAACCAGCACGATTTTGGGCAGGAAATATGTGGATCTGTCAGACACAGGAGATGGCACCGTGCTCAACACTATTACAAGGAAGTAGAAGACAACTTCTTACAAAGTGTATTAAGAGGGCTACCCACTCAGGACCCTTCCTGTCCCTCAGGAGCTGTCCTATCAATAAATATCTTCCTACTTTAAACTTCCTTTGTTCCTAGGACTCATCCTTCGATTTCTAGAGAACAAGAAGTTGGCGTATCATACAGTTAACGGGTTGGGAGATACAACATTTCATATTTCATATTTCCCGTGACACGGTCAGGGGAGGTTCCCAAAGAAAAGAAAACCATGGAGCAAACATCACCAAAAAAGCAGGAACCAAACTTTAATTTTATAACATACGGGCTGCATCAGATCATGACAGTTGGGGCTGAAGCTATTGAGCTCAAGAGCTGTGCATCCTTTTTTTTATCAGCTTCTCTTTTTTCCAGTACCAGGTATCAAACTCAGACCTTGCACTTTCAAGGCAGGCGAGGCACCCCTGAGCTAAATCCTAGGCCATGTTATCAGCTTTTCTGAGACACACTTGGACAAAACAGCCGCTGGACCTTGCATAGTCATGTGGTATGGGCGTGATCATTCCTGTTGACTTATTATTATTATAACAAAGTCTGTCATGTACCTGCGCCAAACAATGGACAGACTTTGTGCCCTCAGATGCCTGGGATTTGACACATCTGCCAGTGGCCCCTTTCACCACCCCACCCTAAACACCTTTTTTTGTTTGTTTGTTTTCTCCTTCTCTTTCTTAGTACTGCAGTAAAACCCTGGGCCTTATGCTTGCTAGATAAGTACTGTACCATTGAGCTGCATCCCCAGCCTATATTTTCCTTTTAAATTTATTCTGACAAGAGACTAATTTCCAGATAATATAAAAAAAAGAAATCTCACTTGAGGGGAGGCTGTAATTGGAGCTACTGGGGAAAGAAGAAAAAGGATCTAAAGTTGAAAGCCAGCCAAAGCAACTTAGTGAAACTGTCTAAAACAGAAAAACATTAAAAGCACTGGAAATGTGGCTGTGAGGCCTTATGTTCAATCCCAAGACTCCAGTAAATAAACAAATAAATACATCAAGGAAACCCTACCACACAAACATAATAAAAATAATGTAATTCAGAAGAGGTGACACATCTAAACACATACTATTCAAAAGATTAAAAAAAAACATGAAAACATTTTCAACATCATTAGTCATATGAGAAACACAAATTGAAAACAATGCAACAAAAATGAAACAACGGCAATACCATGTCAAACATGCAGACCTGGAATCTTCACATTTCTATATATATGTATAACTATACGCCTTGTTCAGCCACTTACTTGTTTAATGACTTTTTATGTTTACAATCGAGGCATACCATTTGGATTTACACTGTACCACTCACAGACTACAACCCAGATTTTTTTATACAGTTCTGTATATCTTAGTTACAGACTCTCCATGTCTTTTTTTTTTGTATGGTACACATTGTTTATACAGTATTATAATTTTTGCTAGTTGTGATATACAGGAAATAACACAACTGCCAACCTGCTACATGTCAGACATGCCAAATTCCTGTTTTCCAAAACTGAAGAATGTACTCTAAGGAAACACAGAGGTCAAGAGAAGTTTATTGAGAGAGATAGCTCCTGAGAGACAGGAGGAAACTCGAAAATGGGGTGCCAGCAAGCCCATTTCTCAAAGTTTTATAGAAAAAAATCACAGGGTGAGTACAAAATCACAAGGTGGGTACAACATGGATCAAAACTATGATCAACCAATAAAATTACAAATATAGCTGCTTAGGTAATACTGATCTAGTGGGAAGCATGTCATGTAACAAGTGTACATGGAAAGAATGAAGACTTTTTTAGGAAGGGATGGATCAGGAGGTTTCAGTCACCCACCAAGGTGACTAATATCTATCTAGAGTTTATTGGACCTGGTGATACCACTTATCCCTTTGGGAGGTATGCAGGCCTGGCCATTCCATTTTTATCTCCAACAGATGTGCCTCCAGCCACAGTTATAATGTGTTCTCATCCTCTGCACTGACTTCCTGGAAGGACTACCCTCTCTGACAGCCTATAATGTTTCTACTAGCTCAGCTGTCTATAATAGTTGTTCTATATCTTCAGTACTATCATTTTATGTTCTATTATACATTACAGTACTAAATCTGACTTAAAAAGATAAACAACTCTTTAAGAAGTATGTATCTTTTGACTCCATGATTTGACTTCAGAGTGACTGTCACACAACTATTATGAAATCATGTACCACATAGGGGAACAGAATAGGCTGATACCCTTCTACAGGTACTAGCTTAGAAATTATGTTCACAAAAATAAGGAATTATGTGCAAAAATGTCTAACAAAGTGAAAACAAGGGCTACAGCTCTACGAGTATAGTGTGATCACAAACTTTATAGGAAACAAACATACAAAAAATAAAATACAGCTTACTGTGCTCAGGAATAGGTTTGAGATGATATGGGTAATCTCTTTTTCTTTTTCCCATTATTTTCCAAACTGTCCTTAATAAGCAGGTGTTACTTTTGCAAGACTGGGCTGAGCTTTGAATGCTGCCTCTGTTGCTTAAACTTTTCAGTCTCTGCCTCTTCCAGGCCAGCCTCTTGATGGCCTTGTGGGGACAGAAGGGAATGAAGCAGCAAGGAGACCAAAGGATGTGGAGCTTAGATGCCTTGTGATGAGCATGTGAATTTGTTGCTGCCCATATTTACCCATGTGGCTTTGACCAAATTACTTAACAGCTCAAAAGTTTTTCTTGTCAGAAAAACAAGCATAATACTTAACATTCATTGAAGATGTCCATGATTCCAGTTTGCCTTCAGCCCTTGTGAAGCAGGCCACAGACTGACATCTTACAGACGACCCAACTGGTGCTCAGAGAAAAGTAACCAGCCTACCCAACAAGCATGGCCAGAGAAGCCCACGTGGATGGCCAGCATCTTCCACCACAGTGAAACTCCCAGGCATAAGCTGCCCAACTGGCCAGGGAGGGAGGATGTGTATAACAAATATGATGACTCATCAGGGCCCAGTGTTTGAGGCTTTTACCTGACGGCTGCAGGATCCGCAATAAATGCTTGTGGAGTGGAAGGCTGCATGGGACATGGTAGCAGCTCTACAAGTGAGGAGCAGCAGGGTGGACTGTTTTCTCTGGAGCTGGCACTTGTTCTGTAAACGGCACTATCAATCTTCACCCAGGGCTCAGCCTGCAGGAACAAGTCCAGGTATACTCGGTCCTTCACCCAGGCTCCCAGGCCTGCAGATGTCCTACGTGGTGGCCCCAGAGTACTTATGTTAGAAAGAATTCCCCTCCTGTCTGCTTGACTGGGAGAGCTATCTGTTTTGAAGACATGAGTTCTGTATCCTGTGTTTGGGACAGGGAGCATGTA